TAGTCAATTCGGGGTCGGGGCTAGCCGTTGGGTCCCAGAAGGTTCCCAGTTGCCGTTTATGTTCCGGTTGTTCTGGGGAAGTTTCGGCTAGTTCCAGGTTGGGGGGTTGTTTGCACCTTTAGCTTTAGGGTTTTAGCCAATTTCGGGCGGCCCTGAAGTGGCTTTTGGCAGGGCCGGTGCCGGGGAATCTTTGCTGATGTGGCAATTTTATCGCGAGGCTTGAACAAGCCCACTCGTCAATGGACTTCACCGGAGAATGGCTTTGTCTCAGGTTTGTGGGATTGGTGTAACTGATGTTTGTGGCGTCCATTTGCTTGAGGAGAGTTACTTTACCTTATAAATTTCGTAGGCAGGTACATTTGCCCTCGGGCCACGGGCTACTATTTCCCTTAGGGAGCAGGGTGCGGGGAGGACGTCAGCTCCGTGCGGCCAGTGCGGCCCCTCAGACACGGGGCATTGGATCTTGAAGATTCGCAGGATTGCAACCTCACTCATGGTTCACTCATGTTTCACTCATGTTTCATGATAAGCCTTGTCTAGGATAGGTGAATGCTGATACGGGACCCACGATTGGAGCAACTTTGGATTTGTCGAGGGTCCTTGCAAGGACTTGTGCTATGGAGAGCCATGGCGCTGAAGGCATTTGTGCACGCGGGAGATCCGTCAAGGAGTCTGCAAAATATTGTTTTCGCGAAAGATTTGGCGACTGCTTTTCGGAGGCATGTTTGTACGCTTACATATTTGCGGACCCCCCTCCCTTATAGACCCAGCACCTTTACTTGTTTCGGAAAAAGATCCTGAGTTTGTTGCAAGGTTCCGCACATTGCGCCCAGGACGGAGCAGCCAAGGCAAACACAAGTGGAAAGGGCGAATGGTAGTGACTGCTTTCACTCCGTGCTGCGGCAAGCCTGCCAGCACAAGTGAACGGCATGGCCGCGAAAGATTCGCGCAATATATGTTTTGTCCACGAAGACAGGCGTTTTTCCGGAAGCAGGAATTTCGATCAGCCCCCATTGCTTGACTCCCACCTTTGAGCAAACACAAAGCATCCCTATTTCCAACAACGAAGACTAGCGTTCGCCCCCAAGCAAATGAAGCAATCAAGCCACGTCCTGGTCGGCGGTGTGATTGCGCATGACCAAGCCTACACAGCTTCACTACGAAAAGTTGGACTTTGGGCAGGGGACTGGGAAGAACCCAGCAAATTGCCTTCTGCGCAAGAGAGTTACCTTTGATTTGGCCTTCCTCGCTGGCAGCACAGGCGCCTCACTTTTGGAGCCTGCCAGAGGGCTGGTTTCGCTTAGCTGCCATGTCCTTCGCCCAAGCTGCTGCTGGCTTCGAAGAAACGTCAAACACTTGTGTCTCCCAATCGGGAAGGCCAATAACCTGAGCTTGGGCTGTTCCTATGCCTTCCTGACCAAGCATCGTGGATATGCCCATCTCTCGTCATCTCTCGTGCATCGCTGCTCGTGCGTTGGGCACTGGGCATCCTTTGCATCAGTCAGCAACAGACGCCCAAAGTAATGCACATTGTTAGTTGGGCAACAAGGCAATCCGCGTCATTGCCATTGTTTGTCATATGCTGGCTTATACTGAGCCAAAGGACTTGCGCCCATCATTTGTCTTATTGCTTGAATCCGTTGATTTGGATTGAGTTTCGGACGACTTGTGGATCACCTACCAGCCACAACACGGCTTTGCTTCCTTCTTTGCTGTTCTTTAGTCTGCGCTTCTTTGTCGAGAAATAGCCTTCAACCGGTGATATCAGGTCTAGCAGGTCCGGCAGCCGCACTGAGACAGCGGATAGTTTCTTGAATGCCAGCATGGATTTCAGTCCATCCCTTACTTTGGGAATTATGCTTGATATGTGCACCAAAGTCTTAAAAGCAACACCCGAGACTGAGGTTGCAAGGCAGACCATTTTAGTGTTCTCCATGCTGTGCATCCATCGTGCTTCCAAGCACAATGCGTAACCAAGGGAAACCACAATTCACAAACCAAAGGCCGGCGCATTCCCCCGAGGCTTGGGAAGCTGAAGAACCCGAGGTAAAACGGGTGCAACCTAAATCTCCATCCCAAAACACGCGCTGCTTTCTGTGGATTTTGTGCTTAAGAAAGTCCCCAGAAAGAAGTGACCCATGTGGCTTTGGCAATTCTCATTAAGTGTTGTGTCCCCCAACCACGAACTGTCCATACAGGAAAATCACGAGAATGCTTAATGTAGGAGTAGTTTGAGGCCCCAGCAAAGTGAGAACCATTCCTTGGAGGATATTCAACAGGCATTTGACCTATCCAACCAAGCGCTTCCTGGTTACCTGAAAAGCAGCCACGCACGCTCCCACCCCGAGAGCGCACTCTGGGTGTCCCCCACATGACGCTCGGAACCCATACCACCGGCACAGCCGACGTCGGAGCACGTTCGCACTCGCACACACTACTAGTGCCATTGCCGCTCCGGGACTTCAGTCGGGGATGGCAAAGAGGGGGCCCAAACTTCCGGGCACACAGGCGCTTGGCTTCAAAGCGTCAAGGACGCACGCGAACGGTTGAGGTCAACGCGCGCAAAGTGCCAAAGATGCACGCGAATGGAGAGGGGGGATGACACTCCTCATTTTCGAACCAAATTTGGAGGAGGGGGGGGGGGGCGGGGTCCAAAACTTCCGTTCGCAAGGACACAGGCAATAGCTAGACCTTTGACTGGTCTGACCGCTTGAGTTCAAAGACTCAACGGAATGCTTGGATGAGGCTCCTCATGTTTGACCCCCCGCAAAAAAGGATAAATTTGGGGTGGGTGGGGGGGGGGGAATTCCCAGCGCACCCACTGGAACGGCCATAGCTGCCGCCCGGCAATGCTCGGAAACCAAATCCCATCGGCACGGCTACGTCACAGAGCCGTCCGCACGTGAACGCTCCCATCGCGGAAGACTTCGAATGACTTCGACTAAACGAGAACCCATTGCATCAGACATGCTTTCGGGGAAAAGATTTAAGCTCAGGTGATATCCCCAACAGCATGCGACGCTCTTTTTAGTGCTCGCACCACACGGAGCCCTCGCAGAACCTCGTAGAACCCTCGTGGATCCCTGGCGGAGAACTGGTGGAACCCTGGTGGAACCCTGGTGAAACCCTCGTGGATCCTTGCCTCAGGGACCCCGGAGCCTATCTGGGCGACAGCGGAGCTTTCAGCTGGGGAAAAACTAACAACCAACAACATACTTAAAATATAGGCCTAAAAGCTGTACTCCGTCCTCACCCAGAAGCAAAACGGACCGCGGGCTCAGGCGCGCTGGTCTTGGTGGCGCTGCTTGCGGCGCCTTGAGTGTTGGATGGGGGGGTGCTTGGGGTGATATTCTTATGGACCTGCGTGGACGAAGAAGAGGACCCCGAGGCAGCGTTGCTAAGTACCTTTTATGTTCATTGTTTGTTTAAATCAAAATCGAGGTCAAAGGCAACGGGTCCTTTGCTCACAGGTCAGCTCTGCGCGCTTTGTTTGATCAAGCCCAGAGACGCCGCGGATGCTCAGGGATGGGATTGTCAAAGAGGTGGTGCTTTGGTTTTGTCTACTGCACCTGTTCAAGCTCGTTAGGGGTGACATGTGAAGGATGCAGCGCGGGCCATGAGGCCTTCGAAGTTGCAGAGAAGCACCCTGTCACCTTTCTTTCACATCTTAAGAGCGGCACCTTTTGTTGCATTATTTTGTCGGGTGGGCTTCTATTTTAAATGTACCAAGTTGTCGTCGCACAGGTGGCAAGTTAGCGCATGTGTGCCGGGATGGACTGCTAAGAGCGCTTAAACCGACTTCCCCTGCTTGAACCCATCTCCTTTTCAATGTGAGGTTCCTTTAGGGCAACTATTATGCCGGACCTCCTATGCTGGTCTTGTGCCTTCTTCTCTTTCAACAATAGCAACATACTTTCGGAGGGGACCCTAGAGGGTCCTCATCCTGGTTCCACACTTTGCGATGGGAGTTCGACCTAATTCTGTGCAGATCTTGTGCGATTTCAGGATAGTCATCAAGCCTATGGTTGGCATAAAGCAATCTGCAGCATTCGTATTCGGGGACCACTGTCCCTCAAGTTTGCGTGTGTTAGAGGTGGCGGTCAGGTTCATGTGTAAACTCAATTTGAACTGGTTTGGGCCCAAGACTTGGCTCAAGCCGTGATGGAACTGTGCAGGTCAGCAGCGAATGAAGGAGGTCCCCTTAGGGTTTCAGTGACTTGCAGCAAGATGGGTGCCCTAAACATAGGTGTCCTTTTTAGGTTTAAAGGACACCTATGGCAAGCATTAGCTGTTCCAATTTACGAGTTCCAGCTTGCCCACGCTTACTCATTTAGTACCCCGTTCACCCTAAAGATGTCTTGAGCAAGCTGAGGATCAGTCACCTTGCCTGTCCGGCTAGCGGATGAACTGCGTGTGCATGAGACTCCATGATTCCCACAAGCAGACGATCGACGCAGCACGACTCAGCCTAGTCTCTCCCTTGTTCCTTTGTTTTGATCCACATGTCGCAGCTTTAGGGAAATTCATCTCAAGAGAGGACACTTCGCTCATCCCACGGTAGAAATCCTCATGCGCATTGTTGATGTTCTGTTTGGGTTCCGCTTTCAGCCATTCAATCGAGTACTCACTCCCATAGAGAAAAAACAAGTCGCAGTCTCACCTTGTCGGTTTGGGCCCCGTTTTGATTATGTGAATTTACACGCATCCCAAAGATGAGAGAAGAAAACGCATCGAAACAAACATCAGTGGGGGGTTCCACTCAAACGCAGAACAAAGACGACGTTGGCGTTTCACCGCAGTATATCCGAAAGAGTATGCCCAAGTTCACACAGTTGCCCACAGTCGGCCTTTTAACCATGCGGTTTCCCTGATTTATTCCATATTTAGTTGAGGTTCCAATTGGTAAGCCTTTTATTTTTTAGCTTGTTTGCGCAAGTCAGTTCAACAAACATGTTCCAAGAGCAAAAGAGCAAAAGCCTCACGGTGCAAAACAATTCGGGAAGCAGAGCGCAAATCTGCGGATGCGCAAACCAGCGCTATGTCCAACATCCACCCGGCATGCAAGCCAGTCTCAGGAGCCACGGAAGCCAAGACGGGGATTCCTTACGTCAGCTTTGTGAATACAAATTTGCCCAGACGGAATTCGCAAGCAACTTCTCATCAAGCGAAGATGGGATCAAATGGTTATTCCATGGTTGTTGTTGGGAAACATTTTACATTTTTGCTTATGTGGTTTAGTGGTTGAAATCCAACCACTTGACTGCTAAATATATATTTTTGCTCCCCTTCCAACGTCAACCAAATTTCATCGCTGCACCCAAGTGTCCATCTTGCCCTTGCGTCCAGCGTGCGGAAATTTCGCAGCTGCAGGTTTGGGGGGCTTTGGGACACTCTTGTCAGAGATATGGGTATGGGTCAAAATTACACCACCAGGGGACGGCAGGTTTTAGTCCTTGGTTCCATTTACCAGGGCTCCATTTAGGGTACCTATTTTTGACCCACAGCCATATCCCTCGTCCCAGAGCCGTGGGTTCCGGGGAAGTCGGGGCAGACCATTGTGCGCTCCACTGCGGAGTTTCGACTGCAACTGTTTTGCGGCTTACACCAGGTAGCGACACAGACTCTTTCGGAATTCGGAGGTCCGGAAGGCTTGGAACCAGGAACGAGTCGAAGCATGAGGGGTAAATGTGGGCACACCGGCCCTGTTGCCTGTACCCCAAGCTTGAACAACTCTGAAACGCCCGGTGCTTCACAAATATTTTCATATATCGCGTTGTTCTTTGGAAGATGGGTTTGTCAAACATGGGGATCTTTCTTGGGAATCTAGAGACTCGCAACGAAGCGGGCCATGTTTATACCCCCTCAATTGGACCTTGGACATCAACCAGGCAGGAAGCCAACAACAAAAAGACGGGGTGATTCAATGGACATCACCGAATGTCATTATATAATGTAGAGCTCCCTCATGAACGGATTTATGCTGGGTGTGGTCGCACACTCCCTGTCGGTGAGTCGCTATAAGTTGCACATAGCCCCGAGCTCAACAGACTCACTTGCCAACAGACCTGGGACCAAAACAAGTTGAGACCAAAGACAAAACAGGTCACCTCGAATGCATCCACATATACAGCAAAACGTCCAACCGTGTAACAGCAGACCAAATTTTGAAGTTCGAGCTGGGAAGTTCATCAAAGCCTGGGGCACCGCGCTTAGATATTTCTCGAGACGAGGCCTCGAGGTTGAGTCTTGAGGGTACCCAACTGCGGGTTAGCTTCGCTGCTGGCAAGTGTTTTAGATATTTGGTTTCTGTTGATTTTTAGCGCGAGGGCGGCAAAAGATAAAAGTTGTTTGCTACCATACCAAGGGTTGTGCTGGGTTTAAGAAACCCAATCCTGGGTTTGAGGCTCCCAGAAATGCGGCGAAGCCAGAGGATTCACCGCTCAGCAAGCCAAAGGAGAGTCCCTCGGAGGTGCCTGAGCGTTTGTTTTTTGTTTCCAAGGGCCACGGAAAAGCTGGGTATGCTTTGGGTGGCCCTTGCAACTTGAGTTGTGGTTTTCTACTTTTTCCCTTCACGACATATCGAAAATAGAGGGGCTTCGCCAAGTGAGAAACACACTCCTGAGGGTTGCAACCACAGGAGAGTTCCACCTCCTCAATGTCCAGGTCAAGGACCGCTTCGAACGCACTGTCGAATCGAAGCATTGCCCGGTGAGCTAGGAATATGCAGGTCGCACTCTCATCGGAGCAACCAAAAGCCACCTGATCATGTTTAGGAAGCTACTATTTTTCCATTTAACCATACGGAGTTGTTTTTGAGGGTTGTGTGTGGTGTGCCGCCTTGGTAGTTTCTGGACTGAGACAGGAATGGTTCTCAATACTCTGGATGGGCGAAATCCTGCACCACTTAAGAAACCTAATGATGATTCCTCTGTAAACACCAACAACCAATGGTCTCAACCATGGTTTCAAAATGGTGCGGTCTATGGATTTCGCGTCCATCCACAGTATGTTCTGACATACTTCTCTTCCAGCTGAAAGCTGTGGGGTTTGTACAGATTCGCTGCGGAGTGGTTCGGACCGGCTCCGGGCTATTTTTTCCAGGAAGGGTTCTGAGGGAGACGTACCACCTTGGCTTGCTTTTTTAGTTGGGGGGGAGGTTCAACATCACCTTTCGGGCCAGTTTTGTTTTTCTTAAAGGGACAAGGAGCCCTGACCTTGCTTACTCCGACGAGTGCATCAACCCTGACAATACTTCAACGGGGTCAATGGGGGTAATCCTGCTCGTCAGAGCCGGGAACGGCTTCGCGTTTGCCTCTGACTGCCACTCACCCCCTCACCCCTTAAAGTCGCAGTGGGCGCCTGATGTTTTGTTCGCGGATGCAAGGCTGGAATAGACGTCACTGGCGGTTCCGCTCAGTTGCAATTCGGTGTATTAGAGCAATTTCCAAAACCTCAGGGGGGGGAAGGGAATTGAGCATAGGTGTCCTTTTTGGTTGTTTGGGTCGAACAATCGATGGCGATTCCTGGCTTACCTGGTGGTTTAATCATCCAGGGATATCCATCTATTTCGACCAGGCTTTAAGGGGTGAGAGGCATCGACCTCTAGACCTCCGAGACCTCCGAGCGAGGAGCACGTGGCCAAGTCCTTTACAGCCTTCCTCACCTGCAACATCAAGGTGCGAAGGGGAATAGTTTTCTCGTTGGCAGGTGGGGTGTGACTTGATTTTTGCTTGTTGGCTTGATCACCGTTTTCGGGGGGGGAGGGGGTCCAGAAAAAAATGACGCTTAGGTAGACAACTTGGCCAGCATTGAGGATGTGGGAAGGGAGTTGCCCACTTCCATGATAGGAACCTCCCTCTGAGTGAGGAATCGTCCATTGGGGGAAGTTCAGTATCACTGCAGGATTCGCGTGTCTCAAATTGGGTCCTATCGAATACTAGGGGAAAGCCAACAGGAAGCGGACCCTTCGAGCTCGATGGCTACAAAGCAAGCCTGCTGGTGATCAGCAGGTTTGCCCGGGATGTAGACAGGGATACTCTCATGTTTGTTAAATGTCCAAGGCAAAGATTAGAGCGACACCACTTTGGGCTCCCTAACTTAGATGAGTTCCAAAGCAACCAAAGGCCTGGGCAAGCGAGCTCACCCACTGGGCAAGCCCTCACGCAGGTTTCTTGCTCAGGGATCCCTGATTCCTCATTGGTGAATTCTGAATGGATACTGCGGGCGGTTGCGACATCCATTTCGCACCGCGAAATGAAACCCATGGTCCGTCTTTTGTTGGCATTAGGGGAATCATCATACCAGGGTTTCTTAGGTGGCGAAATCAATTTCGTCCATCCACAGATCAACTCAGAGATATTCCGATTTTGTTTCCCGGTGCCAAACCTCGGACCTCCGCACAGCTCAAAGTCGGAGGGGTCAGTAAGATGAATCCAAGAGCACGTGACAAGGTGCCTGAAAAAATGGGAACTGCCCTTTAATTGCTTACTTGTCATGACTATGAACGGCAACGTGGCACTTCAGGCAAAGGCGCTGGCAAATGGAATCAACGGGCCTGGATGGGAAGGCAAACAGTGCAAGCGGCCAAAATTGTGGCACTACATCCTTGCAAGGGACTTCAGAGTAGCTGTTTAAGGTTCAACTGTTTCAAGTGAGCACACCTAACCATCCTAACCCTAAAACCCTGGAACAATCCTGAGGGTCAAACAGGGTTCAATAAAAAATCCCCCAACTCAAAAAAAGTGGATCAATTTCCCGGTTTCCCCATTGAACCCCCCCACTCTTGGAGCTAAGCGTCCGATGTCACGCGCGGCGACGAGCGAGAGGTGCCCTACATGAAGGCGGTGCAGCTGGAAGGCCCAAGCCGCAGCGGCAAGAAGGAGGCCATCAAGGCGCGCCCCAAACCCCGTCCCCCCGTTTGGGGCGACTTGTGGAGATCTCCATTTGTGGTTTCATTTTCCCTTTGAAATGGGGAAGACTAGACAAATGGAATTGAGGACCCCCCACCCCCCACCCCCAGCCCCCCCCGGTCCCAATTTTTGTCGTCTCTTTTTGGGGGTCCCATTTTTCTTGGGGGGGTGCGCCCCAAAAAAGGCCCCAAATGTTTGGAGCCATCTTTTTTCCTTTTTTTTTCTCAGGTTTGGGGCGTACTCACCAAACATGGATTGAAACCAAGCCAAATTGGTCGCCCATCTCAGAATTGCAGCAAAAAACACCTTGGGGGGTTGATCAAAAGGTCCTTGCAAGGAGTTATGTATTCGGTGACCATTCGTCTTGGCTTAAATCCCTCCGCGAAAGATCGGCGATGGAGTTCGCGAAAGAAACTTATTGTTTCGCGAAAGATTCCGCGTTGGATTCTTGGAGGCATGCCTGTGCACTTACATATTTGCAGATCCCGCTCCCTTGTAGATATGGAGATACGCAGAACCTACACTTGCATTATTGATTCCCTGCCTCTGTTGGGAATGGTGCAAATCCATAACGTTGGCTGGGCTATTTTGGAGCAAGTTTCGCGAAAGATCCGCGAAAGACCGGCGAAAGGTCAGGGAGCTTGTTGCAAGGTTCTGCACATTGCCGGCAAGCGCAAGTGGCAAGGGCGAATGACGGTGACTGCTCGCACTTAACACTACGTACTGCACGCAAGTGAACTGCGGCTACCGTGTTTGCAAGCATAACTGCAGCAGCCACAATGGCTCCAGAGCGCACGCTGCAAACAAAAGGGCGTGGCGATGGAGTCGCGAAAGATTCGCGAAAGAAACTTTTTTTCTCGCGAAGATGGCGTTTTCCGGAAACAGGAATAGTGATCAGCTGCCACCTGGGTCCCAACCACTGCTTCTTGGCCGGCACTTGGGATTCTGGGGATTCTGGAAAAACAGGTGTTGGTGGGGTGCTGGAAAGGGACACCTGTGACCAATTCTGGTTCTGGGCCCCGCGAGAAATAGAGGAACCGAAGTTGGAAGAGATGAGGGCTGTGGGAAATGACCACTTCTGTGATACAACAAAAAGGGCTTCCCAAAGACTAACCCCCCATATAAAGGGGGAGGTTCCCTTGTATCACAGAAGTGGGGAGAAACTCTTGATCCCACAACCCTGGAAGAGATGATCTGGAAGATTTGAGCAAGGCAAGGCTTGCAGATGCCCGAATACATACGGCCGCTTTTGAACAAGCTTGACCAAATATGAGTCAGAGTCTAAATATGAGGTTTTGGGGTTGGGGGCAAAAGTTGTCTACAACACGGGTGCCCAACAATTTCCAACCTTTGGCTCTCCCGGAAAAACAAAAAAAGCTACAGCAACAAGCGACCAGCAACCTGATGTTTTTTGGCACGACCGCCGTTGTTGTTTCGCAGAAATGTTTGTTTCAAGCTTCCCTATCCACATGTCTCTTCGTCTCATGGGGCATGGACCGCCCACGGGCTCTGGCTCCACTCCTTTGGCATGTCTCAACAGCCCTGAGGAGGGTGCCTCAAACAAGCTACCGCTCGTTCCTTCGAGCGGGTTTCCAGGGCGGCTCGAGGTGTCTTTCCTTGAGTGGGGTCTTACTAAGCTTCTTTAAGGCAAAACCAGCGAGCGCCATCACGAAGCACCGCGTGCCCGGCGGAAGGCTGAAGGAAAAGCTTTGCGTCGTCTTTTTTTGCCGATCTGGGCTGAATGTATATCGCCCTTTCTGAAAAGCCGGTTCCTATTAGTTCGGAGGTTAGTTTCATGGGGGTTTCATCGTTTCCCATTTGAACAGAACCACCACGCGCCATTGTCCTAGCTTTGTATTTGTTACCTAAAGGGGAGCCCACAAAGATGGCTTTTTTTTTAACAAGAAAGAAACTGCGCCCAGTTGCATGCCTTTCTTGGACCTGATGCACCAGACTGGGGAGTTTGCAAATCAAGGGATTTCGCACTTGCAAGTTGGGAACCTGCCAGACCTGCCAATTTGGCTACCCTCCCTCCCACTATCATCTTCGTGGGAATGTACCTGGAAGATCAATTTCCTCTTAAGTCGACCTCCTGTCACCATTCCAGTGGGTGGGAGGGTACTCTTCCATGTGCTTAAGACTATTTGTGATGTTGGTTTTAAGTGGAATCTATCACTACCGGACATGTTCTCATCTTTTCCAGGGGGCTTCCAAACATAGAGCCACTGCTTTGCGGGACTCGCCTCCGCCTCTAGGACGGCATGGAGCTGGGCCGGAAGTTCCTGGCGGAGGGGGAGGCGCTGCGCTTTCGCCTCTGGAGAAACCGGGCGGGGCGTCGACGGGAAAAAGCGGAGCCATTCTAGGGTTTGATTCCAACCATTCTTTTCAACCATCGTTCTTTTCAAAAACCGACTGTTCCCCTTGGATCCTGCTGGTTTCCTGAAAAGAAGGGATCCCTGCATTTAGAATGGAAATGGAAGGTACCCCTGCCATGGGTCTAACATGGAGGTTCCATCTCCATGGAAGCTCCCGAAGGGACCCCCTTGACGATTTCCAGAAAACAGAGGATGAGGTTACTTGAGTGTATTGCTCCGAAAGAAGCGATACCCAACTCGATGAGTCGAGTCTTGCGCGGTCTTATATTGTCGAGGCGCCAAAGAAACAGAACACGGCAGTTCTGAGGGCCAAAAGACAAAAGTCTGAAGGATAGAATCCTGTTCGCACTTGGGATCGATGAAGCCCGATTTGAATACTGGGAGAGCAGCCACCTGGTGCAGGATTTTTGGTCCATGGATGAACCATTGAGTGCTATATACTTAGGAGGTGTGTTATCCCACGATCGCAAAATGTGGGCATATCCATAGTACAGTATCCTACTTCTACTGTATTGGCATGGATGAAGCCCTTATCAATACAGGGATAGACCATGAATTTGATTTTTTTCAACAATAGAACTCATAGGACAAATTGGCACGTTGGCCTTTGGGTTCAGTCACTGGTTGTCAGGGAGTTTGGGTTGTCCTTAAATCGTTTTGGGGTGTGAGACTAATGCGGAGTGCCTCTTTTGAAATCAACGGGCAACCAGCCAAAATATCTACTTTCTGCTGAAGTGGTGGTGCACAGTTGTATACTGTACAAATCGGGCATGCCCTCCAAATCTATTATTGGATAGTTTACGAAGCGATGCCCAACAGGGGTGACATTTGATGGACAGCGGCAACGCTGCAGTTTGTTGACCCTGAATTTTCCAGGACGAGGCAAATATAAATGTCATGAACGAAAGGTTAGTCGCAAATTTCTCCCACTATTCTAGGGGTTGATTCCCCATTCTTTTCAACCATCGTTCTTTTCAGAAACCAGCAGTTTCCCCTTGGATTCTGCTGGTTTTCTGAAAATAAATTCGGATCCCTGGAAGGAATGGGGAAGTGTCCCCTAGAACCATGGAAGTGTCTTCTTTTGAAGCTGGGCTTTGCCCGCTTCCATGTCGAGTGTCCCATTGAGGTTTCAACTCAGGACATAGTCTAATGGTAGGTCGGCTGCCTGGATGTTGACAGTTCTCACTTGCCCAAAGTCGACCTTTTAACCTTTGCATTTCCCTGATTGGCCCATTTTTGGTTGTGTCCCCAACAGGTTAACCTTTTGTTTCGAGATCCTTTGGGCAACTGGGAATTTCTAGAATCCCGAATTGACCACTGCACGTGTTTCGCTTTGAGCTGCCCCTGGAAGCCCTGGGTACGAACATGAGGCTGGATAAATTGCTGGATTTTGCCTGACATAGGATTATTTGGGAACAGACGGCTGGGATTTTCAAGACATTCTCAGGAAGTTTCTTGAGAATGTCGGACTCTTCACACGCATTCATGACAGTTTCTATTAGTTACTCATACATTTTCGGTGAAAGTCAATGGCACGTGTCTCCAGTTGGTGAACAAGGGGATTGTTTTCCCCTGCAGATGAATCGAAAGAGCATGATTCTGGACGAGTTTCCATTTGGGAACGCCTTTTGGGTTCCATGTTGATTGGCAGTGGAGTCATGCCTGAAGAAGAAGTGAGCGCACCAAATAATGTTCACCCAACTGGCGAATCTAAGTATGGCCATTGTGCCAGCTTTCATGATATACTCAGTGGATCCATTTACTTGTATAGTAGGCAGCCAAGGGAACCACCCTGTAAAAACCAAAAGGACAATGATAGCTGATTATGAGCAACTAGGATCTACTGGGACACAGTCGCGCCTGCAACCTCGGGCCCCATGACAAACACTTGCTTTCACAAGGGTTTGATCTCATTGTTCGGTCGGTGAAGAATTATACTTCACCCTGTCGTGTTCTTGGCTTCTACATGATTGTTGTTGGCAAACATTTTACATTTTGCTTATTGTGGTTTAGTGGGAAATCCCCACTTAACTGCTAAAATTTATTTTTGTTGTTCCCCTTCCAACGTCAGCCAAGTCTAGTTGCTTACTGTCTACGGGAGGTGAATTGAACATAAAGAAACGTCTGTTTTTTTTCCGGTTTCTGCCAGGCAGGTGCTCGCTCCGCGCCTTGGCAGGGAATTCATTGGGTTTCCTGGTTGAAGCTCCAAGATGTCCGACCAGGTGAGCCACTTGCTCAAAACCCGGGTAGATGAAGGTTAGTAAGGGTCAGTCCCAGCCAGAAATAGTTGCGGCCGCCTTCTTAATTCTTGAAGCATGGTTCTGGGATTACGACCATTTGAGTACCGGGTTTTGAGCAAGTAACTCAGGTCTGGTTTGTTTTGCTTTTCCCCCGTCACGCAAGCCATTGGCTTAAACCCGCTGAGTTGGCCGGATGGTTGGATGGTTGGTTGGGTGGTTTTTTGACGACCGCATGCCCCAGCATCCCGGCATACTTGGTGCCAAATGCAGTGATTTGGTGTTGGTTAGTTGGTCGGGCACCTGCCTCACTTGTTGGCTTTTGTTTGGTGGCAGTTGCGAGTTGCTGGGGGCTTGGTGAGTGACGGGCTTTGAGATCTTACCGGGGGTGGGTTTTGAGGTTGTTCTGGGCTCATCTGGGCTGATGTCCAGGCCGATGGGGTTTAAGGCTTTGTGTTGGTTTGAGGCTTGCTGATGTGTGCTGCGAGGTGCGGCTGGTGGTTGCTTTGGGTGAGTTTTGTTGGCTCATCGCGTTTGAACGCAGGTCTGAGCTACCGCGTGGTTTCTAAAACCAATCTCTTGCAAGCTGCCCTTGCGTTTGCCGGGAATGGATGTTTAGGAATATCACGTGTAGACAATTGTGTAGCGTAGCCCCAATTTTGAGGGGCGTGGCTTCAGTGCTTTGTGCACAGAACCAGGGGAACCCCCCGGACCCCGTGGTGGTTTCAACCAGTTCAATAGAAGCCATGGTTTCTTGGACTAGTTATTTCCTGCTGGCTCAAGCAGGTGTCTTTCAGTGTCCCTGACTTATCCCACATAATCCTTCCCCAGAAGTAGTTCCCCTTTTTGCTTTTTTGCTTTTTTGGGGTTCCCTTTGTTTTCCACTGTTCTTGCTGGGGTCCCAATTCCAGCCAAGAATCAATGTTTGCATCAGATATACAGTGGGTATACAAAGGGTATTTGTCGGCACGTCTTGTCACGTCACCGTACTCAAAATGGGACGCCTCCTTCAGAGGTCGCTCTGAAGCTGAAGAAGACCAAGTGGTCACCGCAGCAGCCGTTGAGCGGCAAGACGTGGTGGGGTCTATGAGGTAGTCCTTACATGACAACACCTGAACATTGCAACTTGTAAATGGTGGTTTCCCTTTTTATTTTTGGGGAAACACCATGTTTCAAATGGTCAAAATGGATCTTTTAAGGAGCCCTGTCTATGAGGTAGTCCGTTTCAAACTCCCCTACTTGAACAAGCTCTCTTTGGGCAAGTTATAGCAACCTCAAAAAGGGATTTCTTTTGGGGTGGTCCCGATTTGGGGCTTTGGGAGCGTATGTCTGATTGGCGAATGAATATGATTCACCAATGTATGTGTATATATATATATATATATGCTGCCCCCGCTTGAAAAACCAAGGTTTTTGTCCACAAGTTTTTGGCCAGACTTGGGGGACCCTGAACTGACAGGACGTTCCATGCGATGTCACACCAGCAGAAGCTAAGCTCGATCGCGAAGTGCACTTAAAGTCACATTGGAGTGTGCGAAGTGCACTTTGGCAGCCTCAGCTCTAAAAGCACAACTTTTCAGCACAAGAGCATCGCGCGAAGCATGCTTTGGCAGCTTCATTGTGCCTGTAAGTGTGATTTTGTTTTATTGACCAGGAATGTCGGCAAAATATATACTTGGGGGCAAGGAACTCCATCCTAATTTGCAACTGACATCCAAATCAAACATAAACGTGCTTTATGTCCTTGCGCAGTTGCATTTGCATGATAGTTGTTTTCTGTTTATACCTAATTCCATATACCTTCTAACTAAGTGTTGTTGAATCAAACTTGCAAAGCAGCAATCTCAGTCGTTACTTGTCTAATGCGATTCAATCACTGTCAAGAACAACTATTGAAATTCAAATATAAAAAAAAAAAAAACATATGCAAGTTAACATGATTTCGAGTTCAAGCCAAATTCAACTAACCGGTTGCAGTTTGTTGTGCATGTCAAAAGTCAATTGGAAAACACAGCTATTGTCATGGCCAATTTCAACTGGAACCAAGATCAACTTGACAAGGGTTATTGTTCTTATGTAACTCCATGTGGCTTTAATCAATCAAGAACTGAGCCAAACCAAAAACAAAAAATGTTTTCAAACATAGATCTTAAAAGACGCAGTGTGTTCAGCATTCGCTCAAGATTGAAGATCTCCAGATGTTGTTTCTTGAGAATCGTCCATCCTGGCCAGCCCTCAAGTCCCACAAAAACTGTAAAGTCTTCAGAACACATATTTCCCCCCTGGCAAAATGCAGGCGGTGGACATCCAGGCTTTGCTTGTTCACCTTTTTAGATTCCATACTTGGCGACACATCCTGGATTGAAGATTGCTGATTGAAGAATGTCAGCAAGAGTTGTTAAACAATCTTCAATCTTCAATCTTCAACCCTAGCACGTGCTAGCACATGTGCTAGCACATCCTGCATTGCACTACGTACTGATGCTATGATTGAGGTCTAAAAAAGAGTGCAGGTTTTGAGCATCATATTTAGAAGCTTGAAAGTGAATGTTAAATTCACTTTTTCAGCAAACATATCAGTTTTTGAACGAACACCTGAGTATTCAAGGGGGGCGGGTACCATATACATATATATAGAGAGAGAGAGAGAGAGTGTGAGTGAGTGAGGGAGAGAGATGGTCCCACTAAACGTATGTTTTTATGCCGGTCTCATGGCTGTTGCTGGCGTGTTGCCCCGCCGGCTATGTAAGCAAATCAACAGGCAGTAAGAAAATCAGCAAGCCTCACCCAATAGGTGCTGTGGCACAGCACGCCGCTGTGGGGCACTGTGCGAGGGTGAGCCATGCAGAGAGACAAATGAATTTTTGGCTCTCACATGTTGGCGCAGTGGGGAGTTTGACGCCAACGCACCCTGTGCTGGGTGGATGACAGTAGCACGGATAGGCCAGCGTGCTCACTGCCCCCACTTACAAGTCAGTCGCTGGAAAGGGTGTTGCGGCAGGGAACGCCGTTCACGAGATACTTTCTTTTGAATTAGGAGCTGGCATGTGTGTGTGGTTTGGCTTTCACTCGCACACTTCGTCAAAGTGTGTTTACAGCAGGAATCGGAACTTTACAGCCCCCTCTCATGTCCATTGTGTTGTCATTATGCAAGTAAATGAGCAAGTTGTAAGCGAATCAGCACGCCCTACCCAATAGGTGCTGTGGCACAGCCAGAATTGGAAAGCGGCATCGTGCACGCCGGTGTGGGGCACAATGCGAGGGCGAGCCATGCATGAGGAGAGACAAATGGACTTTTGGCTCTCACATGCGCAGTGGGGAGTTTGAGGCCAACCCACCCTGTGCTGGGTGGCTTTGACTGGCTGCATCTTGCGTTGCTGGCAGGGGAGGCCATGCAAGCACACTCCCCTTGGAATCAGGAGCTCGTGTGTATACGTGTGTGCGTGTTCGTTCGTGAGTTCCTTGTGCATGCTTGGGGGCAGGAGTCGTTGGTCTAGCTAGCATCTGGCATTTGCTGATGAAATAGCATGAGCAAAGGGGATGGTAGTTGGCCAGTGGTTTGGTTCTCACTGGCACACTGGCACACTGTCGGCAAAGTGTCGTGCGCATTTGACTTTCCGTGATTTGCGTGCGTCCTTTTGGCCATGTAAGTAAATCGGCTGGCTGTAAGCAAATCAGCAAGCCCTACCCAACAGGTGCCGTGGCACAGCCGGATTTGGAATGCGGCATCCTGCACACCGCTGGCCTGGTGTGGGGCACAATGCGAGGGTCAGGCCATGCATGAGGAGAGACAAATGGATTTTTTGGCTCTCACATGTGGGCGCAGTGGGGAGTTTGAGGCCAACCCACCCTGTGCTGGGTGGATGACAGTGGCACGGATGCGCCAGCGTGCTCACGGGGCCCCCACTTGCAAGTCAGTCGCTTGCCTGAGGCTCTGACTGGCTGCGTCTTGCATTGCTGGCAGGGGAGGCCATTCAATCACACTCTTGTTGGAATCAGGAGCTTGTGTGTGATTGGTGTTTGTTCGTGAGTTTCTTGTGCATGAAATCGGTTGGTCTAGCAATCGTCGAGCATCTTCAGGGCAGCTGATGGCCGGGTTCTTGTGTAGTTTCTGGAGGCATCATGTGCTTTGCGTGACTATTGGCAATCCGGAACGGGGTTGGCCAGTGGTTTGGTTTGCGCTCGCACACCTCGGCAAAGTGTGCGGGCAATTGACTTTCCTTGATTTGCGAGTGTGTTGACACAGGGAATCGGAACTTTACAATGCCCCCCCATGTCCATTGTGTTGTCCGTTGGTTATGGAAGTAAATCGCTGGCTGTAAGCAAATCAGCGAGCCCTACCCAACAGGTGCCGTGGCACAGCCGGATTTGGAATGCGGCATCCTGCACACCGCTGGCCAGGTGTGGGGCACAATGCAAGGGTGAGGCCATGCCTGAGGAGAGACAAATGGATCTTTTGGCTCTCACATGTGGGCGCAGTGGGGAGTTTGAGGCCAACCCACCCTGTGCTGGGTGGATGACAGTGGCACGGATGCGCCAGCGTGCTCACTGGGCCCCCACTTGCAAGTCAGTCGCTTGCCCTGAGGCTCTGACTGGCTGCATCTTGCATTGCTGGCAGGGGAGGCCATTCGGTCACACTCTTGTTGGAATCAGGAGTTTGTGTGTGAGTGTGTGTGTGTGTGTGTTTGTTCGTGAGTTTCTTGTGCATGAAATCGGTTGGTCTAGCAATCGTCGAGCATCTTCAGGGCAGCTGATGGCCGGGTTCTTCTGTAGTTTGTGGAGGCATCATGTGCTTTGCGTGACTATTGGCAATCCGGAACGGGGTTGGCCAGTGGCTTGGTTTGCGCTCGCACACCTCGGCAAAGAGTGCGCACAGGACTTTCCTTGATTTGCAAGTGTGTTGACAGAGGGCGTGCCCCTATCCGGTGGATTGTGTTGTCCGTTGGCTTGGTAAGTAATTCGCTGGCTGTAAGCAAAATCAGCGAGCCCTACCCAAAGGGTGCCGTGGCACAGCCGGATTTGGAATGCAGCATCCTGCACACCGCTGGCCAGGTGTGGGGCACAATGCGAGGGTGAGGCCATGCCTGAGGAGAGACAAATGGATCTTTTGGCTCTCACATGTGGGCGCAGTGGGGAGTTTGAGGCCAACCCACCCTGTGCTGGGTGGATGACAGTGGCACGGATGCGCCAGCGTGCTCACTGGGCCCCCACTTGCAAGTCAGTCGCTTGCCCTGAGGCTCTGACTGGCTGCATCTTGCATTGCTGGCAGGGGAGGCCATTCGGTCACACTCTTGTTGGAATCAGGAGTTTGTGTGTGTGTGTGTTTGTTCGTGAGTTTCTTGTGCATGAAATCGGTTGGTCTAGCAATCGTCGAGCATCTTCAGGGCAGCTGATGGCCGGCTTCTTCTGTAGTTTCTGGAGGCATCATGTGCTTGGCGTGACTATTGGCAATCCGGAACGGGGTTGGCCAGTGGTTTGGTTTGCGCTCGCACACCTCGGCAAAGTGTGCGGGCAATTGACTTTCCTTGATTTGCGAGTGTGTTGACAAAGGGAATCGGAACTTTACAATGCCCCCCCATGTCCATTGTGTTGTTCGTTGGTTATGGAAGTAAATCGCTGGCTGTAAGCAAATCAGCGAGCCCTACCCAAAGGGTGCCGTGGCACAGCCGGATTTGGAATGCGGCATCCTGCACACCGCTGGCCAGGTGTGGGGCACAATGCGAGGGTGAGGCCATGCCTGAGGAGAAACAAATGGATCTTTTGGCTCTCACATGTGGGCGCAGTGGGGAGTTTGAGGCCAACCCACCCTGTGCTGGGTGGATGACAGTGGCACGGATGCGCCAGCGTGCTCACTGGGCCCCCACTTGCAAGTCAGTCGCTTGCCCTGAGGCTCTGACTGGCTGCATCTTGCATTGCTGGCAGGGGAGGCCATTCGGTCACACTCTTGTTGGAATCAGAAGTCTGTGTGTGAGAGTGTGAGTGTGAGTGTGAGTGTGAGTGTGAGTGTGAGTGTGAGTGTGAGTGTGAGTGTGAGTGTGTCTGTGTGTGTGTGTGTGTGACTATTGGCAATTCGGAACGGGGTTGGCCTGTGGTGTGGTTTGCGCTCGCACACCTCGGCAAAGTGTGTGCACATGACTTTCCCTGATTTGCAAGTGTGTTGACAAAGGGAATCAGAACTGTACAATGCCCTCTCATGTCCATTCTGTTGTCCGTTGGTTTGGAAGTAAGTCAGCGGGCCGCAAGCAAATCAGCAAGCCCTACCCAACAGGTGCCGTGGCACAGCCGAAATTGGAAAGCGGCATCCTGCGCACCGCTGGCCTGGTGTGGGGCACAATGCGAGGGTGAGGCCATGCACGAGGAGAGACAAACGGATTTTTTGGCTCTCACATGTGGGCGCAGTGGGGAGTTTGAGGCCAACCCACCCTGTGCTGGGTGGATGACAGTGGCACGGATGCGCCAGCGTGCTCACTGGGCCCCCACTTGCAAGTCAGTCGCCCGCCCTGAGGCTCTGACTGGCTGCATCTGGCATTGCTGGCAGGGGAGGTCATTCAATCACACCCTTGTTGGAATTAGGAGCTTGTGTGTGAGTGTGTGTTTGTTCGTGAGTTTCTTGTGCATGAAATCGGTTGGTCTAGCAGGCTCTTCTGTAGTTTTTGGAGGCATCAAGTGCTTTGCGTGACTATTGGCAAGGCGGATTGGAGTTGGCCCGCGGTTTGGTTCAAACTCGCGCACTGCACACTGTCGGCAGGGTGCGGGGAATTGACTTTCCTTGATTTGCGAGTGTGTTGACAAAGGGAATCGGAACTTTACAATGCCCCCCATGTCCATTGTGTTGTCCGTTGGTTATTATGGAAGTAAATCAGCGGGCTGCAAGCAAATCAGCAAGCCCTACCCAACAGGTGCCGTGGCACAGCCGAAATTGGAAAGCGGCATCCTGCACACCGCTGGCCTGGTGTGGGGCACAATGCGAGAGTCAGGCCATGCTTGAGGAGAGACAAATGGATCTTTTGGCTCTCACATGTGGGCGCAGTGGGGAGTTTGAGGCCAACCCACCCTGTGCTGGGTGGATGACAGTGGCACGGATGCGCCAGTGTGCTCACTGGGCCCCCACTTGCAAGTCAGTCGCTTGCCCTGAGGCTCTGACTGGCTGCATCTTGCATTGCTGGCAGGGGAGGCCATTCGGTCACACTCTTGTTGGAATCAGGAGTTTGTGTGTGAGTGTGTGTTTGTTCGTGACTTTCTTGTGCATGAAATCGGTTGGTCTAGCAATCGTCGAGCATCTTCAGGGCAGCTGATGGCCGGGTTCTTCTGTAGTTTCTGGAGGCATCATGTGCTTTGCGTCACTATTGGCAATTCGGAACGGGGTTGGCCTGTGGTGTGGTTTGCGCTCGCACGCAAATGACTTTTCTTGATTTGCGAGTGTGTTGACAAAGGGAATCGGAACTTTACAATGCCCCCCCATGTCCATTGTGTTGTCCGTTGTTTTGGAAGTAAATCAGCGGGCTGTAAGCAAATCAGCAAGCCCTACCCAACAGGTGCCGTGGCACAGCCGGAATCCGAATGCGGCATCCTGCACACCGCTGGCCTGGTGTGGGGCACAATGCGAGGGTGAGGCCATGCCTGAGGAGAGACAAATGGATCTTTTGGCTCTCACACGTGGGCGCAGCGGGGAGTTTGAGGCCAACCCACCCTGTGCTGGGTGGATGACAGTGGCACGGATGCGCCAGCGTGCTCACTGGGCCCCCACTTGCAAGTCAGTCGCTTGCCCTGAGGCTCTGACTGGCTGCATCTTGCATTGCTGGCAGGGGAGGCCATTCGGTCACACTCTTGTTGGAATCAGGAGCTTGTGTGTGAGTGTGGGTTTGTTCGTGACTTTCTTGTGCATGAAATCGGTTGGTCTAGCAATCGTCGAGCAGCTGCTAGTTTTTGGAGGCATCATATGCTTTGCGTGACTATTGGCAATTCGGAACGGGGTTGGCCTGTGGTGTGGTTTGCGCTCGCACACCTCGGCAAAGTGTGCGGGCAATTGACTTTCCTTGATTTGCGAGTGTGTTGACACAGGGAATCGGAACTTTACAATGCCCTCTCATGTCCATTGTGTTGTCCGTCTGTAATGGAAGTAAGTCAGCGGGCTGTAAGCAAATCAGCAAGCCCTACCCAACAGGTGCCGTGGCACAGCCGGAATCGGAATGCGGCATCCTGCGCACCGCTGGCCTGGTGTGGGGCACAATGCGAGGGTGAGGCCATGCTTGAGGAGAGACAAATGGATCTTTTGGCTCTCACATGTGGGCGCAGTGGGGAGTTTGAGGCCAACCCACCCTGTGCTGGGTGGATGACAGTGGCACGGATGCGCCAGCGTGCTCACGGGGCCCCCACTTGCAAGTCAGTCGCTTGCCTGAGGCTCTGACTGGCTGCGTCTTGCATTGCTGGCAGGGGAGGCCATTCAATCACACTCTTGTTGGAATCAGGAGCTTGTGTGTGAGTGTGTGTTTGTTCGTCAGTCTCTTGTGCATGAAATCGGTTGGTGTAGCAATCGTCGAGCATCTTCAGGGCAGCTGATGGCCGGGCCCCTATCATGTCCATTGTGTTGTCCGTTGTTTTGGAAGTAAATCAGCTGGCTGTAAGCAAATCTGCAAGCCCTACCCAACAGGTGCCGTGGCACAGCCGGAATCGGAATGCGGCATCCTGCGCACCGCTGGCCTGGTGTGGGGCACAATGCGAGGGTGAGGCCATGCTTGAGGAGAGACAAATGGATCTTTTGGCTCTCACATGTGGGCGCAGTGGGGAGTTTGAGGCCAACCCACCCTGTGCTGGGTGGATGACAGTGGCACGGATGCGCCAGCGTGCTCACGGGGCCCCCACTTGCAAGTCAGTCGCTTGCCTGAGGCTCTGACTGGCTGCGTCTTGCATTGCTGGCAGGGGAGGCCATTCAATCACACTCTTGTTGGAATCAGGAGCTTGTGTGTGAGTGTGTGTTTG